CTCTCCTACATCCATAATCTTTGGCAGGATCCATTAACTACCCTCTTCCCCCACATAAGATGTCTCTCTAGGCCAGTATGGTTACAGCTTCTGGCTGTTGCTAATTCCAGGATACTTTACTGTTCCTTTTTATTTTTTCCTGTTATCCAGCTTACCATTTGTCAGTAGTAACTTCTTTTTTATGACATACAATGTAGAAAGCATTTATTTTCCACACAAGGATTTCATGTATCTTCAAGAACATGCAAAGTAGTACTTCTTATCTTTTATTAGCACATAGGATAAAAATAAAAAGATGTTGATAAGATCATTCACAGAAAAATACATTCCAGCAAGATAGCAAAGCAAGAGTACATGTGTGAAAATACTTCATATTATAAAGTAAGTGCATGCTGGGGGTGCTAGAGCAGATATTAAGGGAGGCTTGCTGAGTATCAGATGTCCACCCTGTTGGCAGGTCAAATAAAAATGTTTCCTAGCTACTCAGGAGGCTGAGATCTGAGGATCAAGGTTGAAAGCCAGCCTGGGCAGGAAAGGCCTTGAAACTCTTTATCTCCAATTAACACCAGAAAACCAGAAGAGGCACTGTAGTTCAAGTAGTAAAGCACTTGCCTTGAGCTGAAGATCTGAGGGACAGCACTCAGGCCCAGAGTTCAAGCCCCATGACCGACCAAAAAAAAAAAAGTTTCCTTATGCTCTTTCTTTCCTTATTTGTTCGGCAAATACTTCACTTGTGCAAAACATCAATGTATATAATGATAAATAAAATACAACACTGCAAATATATTTCATCTTTCAGGACCATTAGAATCCCATCCACAATCTCCTCTCAAGCTTTTCCACAGGACTTAACTATTAATTAATTAATGATCTCCCTATCTAACTCAAGCTGGCCTGAACTCATGATATTCTTGTCACAGCCTCCAAAGTGTTGAGATTATAAGCGTGTACCACTATTCGAAGCTCAAGGAGTAAGTTCTAATCTGAAATTAATATGTCCTGTTGTAGTAGGAAGCTTGGTGGATTTAAATCCATGTTTGTAAATACCCCCAGGAAGCTGGCCGTGTGTCCTCTGGTGTGTCCGGTGTGTCCTCTCTTCCACAGTCACTACTAATTCAATTGCAAGCAGCACCTTCACCTCTTTTGCACATAAGGAGTGTTGCCTGTCCTTCAAAGTCATATAGACGCATGCTTGCTTGAGCAGCACACACACTAACACTGGAACAATGTGCAGATTAACAGTACACACAAAATCATGATCTTCTGGCTTTGGTGTTTTAAAATGGTTGTGTTGGTGATTTTTAGTAGCTTTGGGTGGGTTTATAGTACTCAATTATAGTGAATCCTCTTAAATTACATTCACTTACATCTGGTCAAGACATAAACATAAAGCAGTATCATATCCTAATGGTACTGGCATAAGTCAGTGCTACCTTCGTGTGGAAGTTGTAGTCTGTCATATTTTCATTTAATTTAGCAATTTTAGCAAATTTCTGTGGGGAACAAATTGTCAGTAGTAACTTCTATGGACTGACTCCTCTCCCCCCCTCTCTCTCATTCTCTCTAGGGGGACACTGATAGATACAACTAGAGCTAGGATTTTAATGTAGGCATATCTGATCATATTTTTGGATCTTGTATGTGTGATAATTGGTTTTAATACATCATTTAGTTTAGTCCTACTACTTTCATTAAAAAATGAAAAATGACCAGTTGAGTACAAGCAAAACTGAACTCTATTTCTCTGTAAAGTCAATTCAAATTTGCGTTCGAGGATGGATATTTTATTACCCTCAGGCAAATTCAGGATAATCTGATGATTTGTCAGTTAGATTCAGGATGTATCAACAACAGATACATTAGAGGTCAAAGCCTTCACTCTTCTCCAGGGCCCACTTGACTTAAAAACATACAAATTCAAAAGGAGAGAAAGGAGAGTCCTTTTGAACATTACACCTCTATTTAGGAGATGCTTTACACAGAAGCCAGAATCAGTGATTTCTTTTTCATCTATGGCTTCATTTTCCTGCCATGGTTGATGTGATTTAATTTCTGGGGTTAGCAATTTAATCTCTCACCCAACCCTAGCGATGCCAGCAGGACATCTCCCATGCCAGCACTTCCTACTTACCCACCAGGTAAAAATAAGGAGCTAAAGCAATCATTTTAGACCTAAGCCCCAATTCCAGGGGTTCCATATGTCAGGACTGACCATTCACCCCTTTAGGCCATTAAAGAAATGGTGAGGGACACATTTATTATGTGGCATGGGCAGCCAAGAGAAGGTACCATTTTAGTTCATCATCGGCCATCTTAAAGGTGTAGACATTGGCTATCGGTTTCAATAAACAAAGAAATGAGGAAAAGAGAAAAGTATGCATAATTACAAGAGTCCCAGGCGGTCTGACAGCCCATTGTCTCAGGATTGGTTAGATGGGCCTAGATAAAGTAAGAGTCATTGATATTTGGCAGGTGGCCACAGCACCTGCCAGCGTTCTAAGATGGTTCTAAAGTGACAACAGGAGAGAATGGAAAAGGACATAGATAGTTTTCAGGATGTCTAGCATTTGTTCTGCCTTTGGCTAATTTGTGGACCCAAGTGGGGAGTCAGTGATTTTCAACAAAAGCAAAAGTTCCAGCAATTATTACAAAACCAGTGAGCAGCCTGTTATAAAAAGTTAGGGAAGCCTGGTGCCAATAGCTCACACCTATAATCCTAGCTACTCAGTAGATTGAGAACTGAGGATTGTGGTTCAAAGCCAGCCCAGGCAGGACAGTCCGTGAGACTCATGTCCAATTTACCACCAGAAAATTGGAAGTGGCACTGTGGTTCAAGCAGTAGAGCGCTAGCCTTAAACTGAAGAGTTCAGAGACAGCGCCCAAGCCCAGAGATATTCAGCACCACAGTTCAAGTATTTTTTTAATCTATCCTTGGCTCTAAGATATTAGAGCACTGAACTTAACATTTTAACATTCCATACTGTATTTTACTTATCTACATCCCTGGCATCTGTATCTCTTTCTGTGTCTGTCTCTAAATGAATGATGTAATTATCTGACCAATTTCACTCAGTTCTGAATAGAGGAATTTCTCAGGTTGCCTTTCTCTTATCAGCTGTATGCAGTCAGTCATTAAATCCTGTAAATTCCACCTCAGTTGATGTATCTCTGTCACAAACCTCCTCCCAGACCCTCTACTGTCTAATTTCCAGGCTTCATGACCTTTTGCTTGAACATTACCATAAATTTTAACTGGCTTTCCAGTCAACTGAACCTTCCCCACCCATGCAGCCACAGGAGAACCTATATTTGTAAGTCATGTAACCAGGTCCTTCACCTGTTCAAAATATTTGACATTAGTGGACACAGAAACCCCACCCTAACTTGATGGAGAGAAACAGGGTGTCAGAAATTTTTCCTCCTATAGGAAGCGAATAAATTATTTTTTGTTTATTCATTTATTGGTAGTGAGGATCAAACTCAGGACAATGAACTTGCTAGGCAAGCATTTTGCCAGTGAGCTACATCACAACCCAGAATGAGCCTTTTAATTAATAGGATTTTTCCAAGAATGTTGACTCCTGACTTTTAAGATTTTGTTCATTCAAGTACTGTGTTGTAATCTGTCCTCTGCTGCTAACAAAAGCTGTAGGCACTAAACAGAAGGAGCTAAACAGACAGCTTGCTTGCTAGCTAATCAAATTGGGTAAAGATCCAAACTAAGATTAAATTGCTCATGTGCTATCTGTTCAATATCTTAAGCCACAGATTTCTCTAGAGATTTCATGCTATTTTGAAAGCAAAGAGATAAGAACTCTGTTGTCAAACTGTTTTATTGCCCAAATAAAAAAGCAAATTGTAATCTTTGTCAAGATTTTCCTAGTTGGGAGATGATCACAATTCATAATTGTTTGCAAGATAATAAAGGTTTATTAGCCTTACACATTGTTAATCACGTTATCTTGCCTCTAGGATTTTTCTTCTTCATAACATCTCCATTCTCTGTTCTGTTTTTCCATTTTCTCCCTTCACCTGAAAGTGAATGCCTCAAGAGCAGAGGCTTTGGCCCACCAAAGAAGGGTACTCAATGTTTTAATCATTTGTATACATTACTACCATAGTGATTGCCTCAAAATGAGCCTCCAATAAATATTGAACAGGTAATCCTGAGTGAAATAGACAGGCAAATGAACTTCTATTTCCTATAAGCCAGAGATGTGGGTTGTTGTTGTTGTTGTTGTTTCCTTAACAAATTGTTCTCCATACATCTTAATAGTCCTCAGAAAAACCCTTGTATAAATATGGGGAGTTGCATGTATATGCTCCATTATACAGGTATAGACTGAAGCTTGAAAAAAAGATGTGATGGCAAGGTCACAAAGCAATGAAACATAAATGTAGGGGGAAAAATCCTTGGGACTTGGGGATTTCTCGGGATTTCACCATCTAACCTTGGTTGTCTAACCCAAGTAATAGATTCGTCCCCCTCAGAAATTGCCACAAGAGACAAGATTGCTTATGTCACAACTACAGAAGGTCATTAAAAAAAAAAAAAAAAAAGCAAGGAGAAAGGAACAGGACTACGGATTCATTTTCCACTCCAGCAACTTCTGAATTTTTTTTTGGGGGGGGGAAGGGTAATGCCAGTCCTGAGGCTTGAACTTAGGGCCTGGGTACTGTCCGTGAGCTTTAGTGTTCTAGGCTGGCGCTCTACTATTTGACCCACAGCTCCACTTCTGGGTGGGATGGGGGGGAGGAGGGAGGGTGATACATTGGAAATGAGTCTCACACTTTCCTGCCCGGGCTGGCTTCGAACCGCGATCCTCGCCTCTCAGTCTTCAGACTAGCTAGGATGACAGGCGTGAGACACAAGAGTGCCCGGCCCTCTCCATTTTTAAACTTTTGTATCTGTGCCAAGAGAAACATTAGCCACCACATTAGGGCGCTCCCTCTGCCCGGAGTTAAAATGGCCGACACCGTTTCATGTACCCACACCCAACATGGACGCTCACTGTGACGTTTCCAACAACAATCTATCCTCCAGTGGTCCCGCCCCCCACCAGGTCAAAACCCCGCCCCCTCCCCGGCGTTTCCGCCAGACGCCCGCTCATGATTGGCTGTTTGTACTATTTACCTTTTCTCCGGATGTCGCGTCACGCAGTGAGTCAGAGCGACTGCGCGCGCAGGGACAGTAAGGACCGGGCGGAGGGCCGAGAAGGTGCGGCGTCCGCGGTTTCGCAGGCCCGAAAGGGGAACTGCGTGGTGGAGGTCACCGGGAACTGAGGTACTTCTCCCCTGGGCGGGAAGGAGACCCCCCATGTGCTCAAAGTTGGGGCCGGCGGGGGCCCCTGGGTGCTGCTGGAGAGGGTTGGAGGCGGCGGCGCCCTGGAGTGCGTCCCGGCCGGCGGCCTCCTGGAGGGTAGGGGAGCCGGGGCGCGCCCTGGTCGGGGGCCGCGCGCAATCTTCACAGGAGGGCACAGGTGGGGGCTGGAGGAGGAGGAAGGATTCGGGGCTCGGGTTATGCCCCGGGGC